GTTCATCAAATATTTTTATTATTCTCAGCTATCGTTGATTTTCAGGTAACGTATTATCAGTAAAGGAAGTCTTTTAAAATTGATTCTGCCTGCTATTTTGTCTGTAAAACAATGAATTATAGGTATAATTTGTTTATTGACCATTTTTTTCAGAAAAAAATGAGCTCCAGTATTTTGTATCTTATCATCCTTCTGTGTCTCGTCATTATCAAAACTGATGCTAAGAAAATTTTATTCCTGATGGCTCAATCAAAAAGTCATATGTTGCCAGCAATACCTGTTGCGGAGGAGATGGTAAAATTAAACCATACAACTACTTTTGTGGTAGCAGCTATAATGAAAGAGGCGTTGGCATCTGAAGGCATAACACTTTCACACTCTATCATTTCAAAGAGTTTTGATAAGTATTATTATGAGGACATTATTCGGGTTACACTTGAGAAAATGGCACAAGATTTAAAAGTTGAATCGCAGGTGAAATGGTTACAAGGAACTAACGCTCTCTGTCACGAATTTATGAATGATAAGAAATTGATAGACGAATTAAAAGAACATAAATTTGATATTGCTGTTATAGACTACGCACCTGTTCTTTGTTTCACTATTATGGCTTATAAACTAGATCTGCCATTTGTCTCTTTTGGTGCCTTCATAGATCAAACCTTAAATCGAGTTCCATTGAACCCAGCTTTCACGCCAACATTTTTTTCTGCATTCAATGATAAGATGACATTCTTTGAGAGAGTTTGGAATACGCTGCGATATATTTGTTTAGTTGCTAGACCTGCAGCTCCAACGTTAGAGAACCTGGCCGTCAAGTATGTCCCAGAAAAACCAGCTATCTCTAATCAAGAAGCAAAACAAAAAGCTATGCTTTATATACATGACAGTGATATTCTATTTGATTATCCACAACCGTTTCCGCCAAATGTAATACTTTGTGGCGGTCTTGCTGCACATCCGTCGAAAAAAGTATCAAAAAATATCGACACATTTGCATCATCAAACAAAGGCTTGGTAGTTGTTTCTTTTGGCAGTATTTTCAAAACATTTCCGAATAATACCTTCGGGAAAATGATTGAAGCTTTTAAACAAATATCTGATCTTAACTTTGTGATTCGACAAGGAGATACAGAGGAGACAACAGACAATATTTTGAGACTTCCATGGATCCCGCAGAACGATTTACTCGGTCATCCCCGTACCGTTTTATTTATAACTCATTGCGGTAGGAGTGGAAGTATGGAGGCTATCTACCACGGAATCCCTGTTATTACATTTCCCTTAAGTATTGACCAACCTTACAATGCAGCTGTTATGGAAGACAAAGGTTATGGTATCAAGATGGATTTACATGATTTTTCTACTGAGGAATTAATTGCCAATATTAAACAAGTAGCTTTTACCGATAAGTATAAGCGTAATATTAAGCAAGCATCGGACATATTCCACAGTCGCCCACAAACTCCTGCAGAAAGGGCAGCTTATCATATCGATTTAGTTGCCAAGCATGGTGATAAACATTTTCGACACTTTGGGATAGATATACCATGGTATTCGTTTTATCTTGTTGATGTTATATGCTTTCTTTTGTTAATGAACATAAGCTCCTCTGTCGTAATGTATTTAGTGTTTAGGAAATGCAGAAGACATTTGAAAAACAGAGCTATTAAACTTAAAAAAGAATAAAAAAACAATAGATATTTAAAGATTGTTATTTTTTAAATGATTATCAATTATCACATACTGTACACGATATATAAATGAATTTATATTATTGTTTTATGTTTTAAGTGCGCTGTTGGATTATTTGTAGAATTTGACGTCTACCTCTTATCTAATTCTATTTAGTCAAATATATAATCAAAATGCCCTATTTGACATCATATATAATGCAGTTCTACCGATCTAAATGAGGGAATGGATTTTTTTAACAGGTGAGTCTAAATTAAATTTTCCCATTGTTTCTCCAAGTACTAAAGTTATTGACTCTAAGCAATATGTTTTTCCCAAATGAAGTAAAAATATGTTAAACTAAAACTATATATGTAGCTATATTTAAACCATTGTGGTGACGTCAGCCTATTCATTTTCCGTGGATTCTTTTTCTAGAATCAACGCTTCCTAAATCTGCCGCTGAAATTGACTCACCAAATTATATTCAATTGTTTCCTTTGTATGCCTAATTTCATTAAGTTTGAATTGGCTAATTTACTGATTTCTGTTCACTAACGGAATTAATTTAAAAACTTACCTTTAATTTTTGTAATTTTTATATGCCTTCACTGGGAATCGAACCCTTCCTTGAAATCTGTTATGTGTGACTGACATCAACACACCGACGAAACCTCTCGGCTACCAATGGGTTACACTATAGATGTTTATTATATATATTTAAATGAACATCTGATATACATCGGTTCATCGGACACACAGGGCTTGTACCTTTATATAGACAAAATAGGCAGTCGTATAGTATGAGTTGGTAGCCGCGAGGTTAGCATGGTTAAACTCAATGAGTTAAAGATCGGGATTTGTCGGTTTAGTTCGAATCCCTGTATTCTCTCTGTTGTTCCAATTCTTAAGTTATCCTGGTTTTTTTTCTAATTTTTCAAGTTATAGTGGATATTTTTGTAATAATAGCGAGTTTTACCGGTTTTTTTTATTATTATTGGCTATTTCACATGTTTGAAACAAAAATGATTACATTCTATTTGTCAATTTTTGTTTTATAAATACAGTATGATTTCATCTGTTTTACTACATAATTTTACAAAGGTTTGTTTGCAAATTCCTATGCGAGAAAATCGTGATGTGCCTAGAGTGCTAGAAAAATTTCGATAACATAATTATTATATATACTTTATATATGCTTTTTGGTCGGGTTGTTGTCTCTTTGACACGTTCCCCATTTCCATTTTCAATTTTATTAGAAATAATCTCAAATATGTCTTATTTTGTATAAACAGATAATATTCATATGCCTGGTAATATAAAGATCTTTAAAGGTAGAAGTGTTATATTTGTATTTTGTTAACCAATTAATTGTGATCTGAGATTTATGAATGCATCGTTGGACACGATAACATGGTTATTTAAACTCACTTACAATACCTTCTAATTAAGAAAGGCTTTAATTTTGAAAAGAAATTAACACAATAGTTTAAGTTATAGATACAATGGATAAGCGTAGATTCATGAAAAACAAACCATTCGCCCTCCGGGCTCATGGTTTCTTTTTCAAGAATCCACGCTTATCCATTGTATCTATATAACATCGCCCAGTTGATTCGATATATCAGAGTTTCTTTTTTCGGTATGATTTCGTGATAGGGATTACTGCTGACAAGGGGACCATGCGCTAATACGATATTCAAAATCCTCTTTACAATTTAAATCGCCGAACACGAATATTCAGCACAATTTCAATTCTTCGATCGCCGAATGACAACGTTGATGCCAAATTCTCCTGCACCACTACATTTGAGTTGAGGGATATGTATTAAAATATTCTAGAACTTATCACCTTTTAAAAAAGCACTTTAAAATGAATTCCTGTAAACATGAATTAAAGTATGCTCAGATCTTCCTGGTTTTTACTAGCTCAATAAAACGAACCGTTTCTATGGAGCAACATTCCAGCAACGCCTGCATACGGAGTATATATCTCCCAGTTGATACAATATTCTAGGACTCGCATTTCCTATCATGAATTATTTGATAGAGGGGTGCTGTTCACAAGGAAACTATTAAACCAATACTTCCAAGTGGGAATATTTTACGGACGCCATCATGAGTTGGTTGACGGTTATGGAATATGTTTCACAGGTGGCGATGGATATATTCTAATTGTCGTAAGTACAATCCCGTCCCCTTTTCCCCGAATGTGACCTACCGAATAAGACTTATCACCGAGTTTGTACTTTCATAAGCAATACATCGGGTGCTACATGTGGAGCAGGATCTGATTTCCCTTCCGGAGAATCTGAGATTACTCCCAGTTTTTGCTGGGGTTCGTGTTGTTCAGTCTTTAATTTTCTATGTTGTGTTTTGTGTACTGGCGTTTGTCTGTTTGTCTTTTTCTTTTTTAGCCATGGCGTTGTCAGTTTATTTTCGACTTATTAGTGTGAATGTCCGTTGGTATCTTTCGCCTCTTTTTTTATATATACACCTCATGTATTCTCTCCATGGCCCAAAACTTTAGTACACTACTTATAGGACTTATTGTCCTCCATTGACATTTTCCCCCGTGTTTTGCCTTTTTGGTAGAAACTATAGTAGATAAACAGAAACTGTGAATAGGTTTGTTGTCAGGTCAAGTTGAAAATCACTGGATGTTCAACACAATGACTTATAATCCAATACATAATCAATCATAAAAAAAATTAATGTAAACACCAGACACATGAGGTTACAAGGTTGAAATAAATTTCGAGTAATGTCATTTTATTGGAAATCTCTAGTGAGTTGGGATTTTGTATCTATCAATTCGATTATTTAAAGATAGTTAGATCTTGAGACTTTCCCGAGAGTCGGAAGATACCAAGGAGATATTGAAACTCATAAGTCGAAGACAAGTCAATTATCAGTTTCTTTGATTTTCAGGTAACATAGTATCAGTAAATGAAGTCTTTTGAAGTCGATTCAGTCTATTATGATGTCTGTTAAACAATGATTTATAGGTATAATGTGTTTATAAATAATTTTTCAGCAAGATGATTGCCAGTATTTTGTATCTTAGCATCCTTCTGAGTCACGTCATTATCGAAACTGATGCCAAGAAAATTTTGTTCCTGATGGCTCAATCAAAAAGTCATATGTTTCCGGCAATACCTGTTGCGGAGGAGATGGTAAAATTAAACCATACAACTACTTTTGTGGTAGCAGCTAGAATGAAAGAGGCGTTGGCATCTGAAGGCATTAAACTTTCACCTTCTATCATTTCAAAGAGTTTTGATAAGTATTATTATGAGGACATTATTCGAGTTACGCTTGAGAAAATGGCACAAGGTTCAAAAATTGAATCGCAGGTGAAATGGTTACAAGGAACTAACGCTCTTTGTCACGAATTATTGAATGATAAGAAATTGATAGACGAATTAAAAGACCAGAAATTTGATATTGCTGTTATAGACTACGCACCTGTTCTTTGTTTCACTATTATGGCATATAAACTAGATCTGCCATTTGTCTCTTTTGGTGCCTTCATAGATCCAACCTTAAATCGAGTTCCATTGAACCCAGCTTTCACGCCAACATTTTTTTCCGATTTCAATGATAAGATGACATTCTTGGAGAGAGTTTGGAATACACTCCGATACATTTTTTTAGTTGCTAGACCTGCAGCTCCAACGTTGGAGAATTTGGCAGTCAAGTATGTCCCAGAAAAACCAGCCATCTCTAATCAAGAAGCAAAACAAAAAGCTATGCTTTATATACATGACAGTGACATTCTATTTGATTATCCACAACCATTTCCTCCAAATGTAATACTTTGTGGCGGTCTTGCTGCACATCCGTCAAAAAAAGTATCAAAAAAACTTGACACATTTGCATCATCAAACAAAGGCTTGGTAGTTGTTTCTTTTGGCAGTATTTTCAAAACATTTCCGAATAATACCTTCGGGAAAATGATTGAAGCTTTTAAACAAATATCTGATCTTAACTTTGTGATTCGACAAGGAGATACAGAGGAGACAACAGACAATATTTTGAGACTTCCATGGATCCCGCAGAACGATTTACTCGGTCATCCCCGTACCGTTTTATTTATAACTCATTGCGGTAGGAGTGGAAGTATGGAGGCTATCTACCACGGAATCCCTGTTATTACATTTCCCTTAAGTATTGACCAACCTTACAATGCAGCTGTTATGGAAGACAAAGGTTATGGTATCAAGATGGATTTACATGATTTTTCTACTGAGGAATTAATTGCCAATATTAAACAAGTAGCTTTTACCGATAATTATAAGCGTAATATTAAGCAAGCATCGGACATATTCCACAGTCGCCCACAAACTCCTGCAGAAAGGGCAGCTTATCATATCGATTTAGTTGCCAAGCATGGTGATAAACATTTTCGACACTTTGGGATAGATATACCATGGTATTCGTTTTATCTTGTTGATGTTATATGCTTTCTTTTGTTAACGAACATAAGCTCCTCTGTCGTAATGTATTTAGTGTTTAGGAAATACAGAAGACATTTGAAAAACAGAGCTATTAAGCTTAAAAAAGAATAAAAAAACAATAGATATTTAAAGATTGTTATTTTTCAAATGATTATCAATTATCACATACTGTACACGATATATAAATGAATTTATATTATTGTTTTATGTTTTAAGTGCGCTGTTGGATTATTTGTAGAATTTGACGTCTACCTCTTATCTAATTCTATTTAGTCAAATATATAATCAAAATGCCCTATTTGACATCATATATAATGCAGTTCTACCGATCTAAATGAGGGAATGGATTTTTTTAACAGGTGAGTCTAAATTAAATTTTCCCATTGTTTCTCCAAGTACTAAAGTTATTGACTCTAAGCAATATGTTTTTCCCAAATGAAGTAAAAATATGTTAAACTAAAACTATATATGTAGCTATATATCGCCTAGTTGATTCGATATATCAGAGTTTCTTTTTTCGGTATGATTTCGTGATAGGGATTACTGCTGACAAGGGGACCATGCGCTAATACGATATTCAAAATCCTCTTTACAATTTAAATCGCCGAACACGAATATTCAGCACCATTTCAATTCTTCGATCGCCGAATGACAACGTTGATGCCAAATTCTCCTGCACCACTACATTTGAGTTGAGGGATATGTATTAAAATATTCTAGAACTTATCACCTTTTAAAAAAACACTTTAAAATGAATTCCTGTAAACATGAATTAAAGTATGCTCAGATCTTCCTGGTTTTTACTAGCTCAATAAAACGAACCGTTTCTATGGAGCAACATTCCAGCAACGCCTGCATACGGAGTATATATATCTCCCAGTTGATACAATATTCTAGGACTCGCATTTCCTATCATGAATTATTTGATAGAGGGGTGCTGCTCACAAGGAAACTATTAAACCAATACTTCCAAGTGGGAAAATTTTACGGACGCCATCATGAGTTGGTTGACGGTTATGGAATATGTTTCACAGGTGACGATGGATATATTCTAATTGTCGTAACTACAATCCCGTCCCCTTTTCCCCGAATGTGACCTACCGAATAAGACTTATCACCGAGTTTGTACTTTCATAAGCAATACATCGGGTGCTACATGTGGAGCAGGATCTGATTTCCCTTCCGGAGAATCTGAGATTACTCCCAGTTTTTGCTGGGGTTCGTGTTGTTCAGTCTTTAATTTTCTATGTTGTGTTGTGTGTACTGGCGTTTGTCTGTTTGTCTTTTTCTTTTTTAGCCATGGCGTTGTCAGTTTATTTTCGACTTATTAGTGTGAATGTCCGTTGGTATCTTTCGCCTCTTTTTTTATATATACACCTCATGTATTCTCTCCATGGCCCAAAACTTTAGTACACTACTTATAGGACTTATTGTCCTCCATTGACATTTTCCCCCGTGTTTTGCCTTTTTGGTAGAAACTATAGTAGATAAACAGAAACTGTGAATAGGTTTGTTGTCAGGTCAAGTTGAAAATCACTGGATGTTCAACACAATGACTTATAATCCAATACATTTTTATTTGTATTATGAACTGTTCCTATATTTAATTTATGTTGTCCAATATTTTTCGAAATCCAGTTCAGCGCCTTTGGGACGTCGCAAGGGAATTGATCTGATAATTATAAAATTGATCTTACAGATCTTTGGTCTTATTTTAATTTATTGGCCAAGCTCTTCCCTGAAATTAGCAAATTTGATAAGAAATGGATTTTGTTTGTGAAATTTTCTTTCCAATGAAAACAAATTTGATTTTATATTATTGTAACATCATTTTTACATTGAAAAAAACTGTGTTCATCAATTGAAAACTTCAAAAAATTTGTTTATCAGGGGCGGCATAAAAGAATGTATAGGTAATTTACTTATTTTGTTTTTTAGGAAGTGAACGAGTTCCTCGACCTCACCTTTTCATTTTATTTTCTGAATTTAAAACACTTATTTGTCTTCTCAAACATTGTTTTAAAATCTACTATGCACTGTCGGCTCATAGTTATTCGTCGTGTGCCAATTTTGCGTATTTTGTGGTTATTAGTAAACGCTGAACCTTAATGTGCAACGAAGTACAATTTTTTCTATGGTTTACTTTGCATACGTTATCAATTCCACGAAAATATAATCTTTCCTCCATCCAAGAAAAATTGGTATCAACGAAAACGAATGAATCCACAGTAGTGTTTTTCAATGCAGAATCCTGACAAAATCTGACAATTTTGCAAAACCGTGCTTGATACAAATTTCGATGAATCATTTTTTAATATATATTTTTGAATATTGTATAATCTTAACTACATTTTGATAAAAAAAAAACGAAAATGTTCTGTCCTTTTTAATTAAGATCCCCATCTACCTTGAATTAAAGCAAATTTGGCAGATATACAGTACATAGATATTGTTAACTATAAGCATAATGTTCAAACTCGGCACAAAATAATTTTTGTTGTTGATTACAGCGCTAACTTCGCAAGGATTACATTTTGATACAGAATACCGGGTAATTCTGACACTTCTTATAAATATACGAGGAAAGTCAATCGTTGAAAAAGACCGAAAATATCGAATAAATAGAAGGATGAGTCAACATTTATAAGTTAAACAGTCATGCACAGACAACTCAACAACCACAAATATAAATATAAATATAAAAACAAAAGTTAATAAAACTAAAACTTTGTAAAAAAGCTATTGATTAAGCAACACACAATTGACCAAATATCAACAAATGAACTCCGATCATACTAAGGATGAACAATGCCCCTTCCACTATCCACAATAGTTGGTTTGCTAATTTGTGTAAGATTCAGGCTATCGGTCGTATTGAAAGCCCGGTGCTATAATCATGTTACAAAGACAGGATTGAGCGGGCATCCGTTTTCATCATTGTGAGGAACACTCACAGCATTTGATTGTGGGAGTTGCAATGCGGTGAAACAAGTAATATAAACAGTTGTGTCGATCAATTTTTGTCATCTGGAGGTTTGGTATAGACGTCGATGAAAGAGAAACTACACATAAAACAAACGATATCTAGAGGTGAACATACTGATTAAACAATTAAAGAAATATCCAAAAACAATACGTCAAGGACTCAAATGCCTCACATCTAGTGAATAAATTTGACATACATGATTGACTATCTGCTATAACATCAAATCCCTAAAAGACAAAACATAATCAGAAAATGGCAGAGTTTAACACAGACGAGGTTCCTCACTTGGGACAGGAATATGAACGTGTTTCAGAATCAAAGTAGCTTTGTAGTACTAAAACATTAATTCGTCGACAGTTTAGAGGAAGGAAGGTTATCTAAAAGTTGCCCGAACCAAGATAGAGTCAATTTGAACTGGTTATCTATAAATTTGAATTATACGGTATATCGCCAATGTCAATATTTAATCAATGTATTTTTCTATCGATTAATTCCGTCTTGTCAGTCATACAGTGCATTCATTATTATTCATGGGATATCATTTTTTGTAGATTTCTTTGGTATAAGTACACCACGAATTCAAATGTTAAACGAAGAACAATTTTGTTATAGGCTCGCCTGTATGAATACCTGTGGATTAAATATGTTCGAGATATACTTATTTTCGCAAAATTTCATAGACAAAATTTAAACACGAGTTAAACATTTCAACAAAATACTAGTTTTTCAATGGCTTGTTTGCGAAAATAAATCACCAAATGATAAACAATGAAGGTTCTGCAAACTAAGTCGAACGGAATGAATGGTCGGAAATTTGACTTGACTCTGCAAAGGGGTATTATGGATAGAAACAGATTTTTTGTTCATTTACGTACAGAGAGCGTGACACTCCCTTACATGATACATCGGATTCACTAACGACCAGTAGTTGCGCATTTTATGGATTCCGCATACCCAAACGTGCATTTTGTTTTGAAATATGCTTCACTGCCGACTTCCTAGTGTACAGAAGTCCAATTCTCTATATCCCAATCAACCCATTTGGGTCATGTTCAGAGGAAATCAGAATGATAATTTTACTACTTGATGAAAAAAATGTAACTGATTCTATTCGGAGCATACCCGGCTACGACGGTATAATGTCTTTTTAGTTTTGAAATTGTTGCACATTTTATTGAAATGGCAGTGTGCGGAAAACGTATAAATATTTGTTGTGACCTGAAAATAGTCAATAAAAAATGACAAAAATAAAAAATCGACAGCCTTAATTATTTTTCCTGTCTTGAGAAAATATTTAAGTGTATTGACCGATGGATTTCGTTCTTGCCAATAGCCTTTATAAAAAGATTACTATAACTTCCTTTCATTTAACCCCCAAGGGTGACTGGGGAATAGAAATATGGTCACCATTGGTCTTCCTCCGACCGGCGGTAAAACCCTCGCTAAAGTGGGGCGTCCGTTTGGCTGTGCGGGATGTACAAGTTCGTAGTCACGTCCGGTCAGAATGGGGACGTTAAATTCGATGCCTCGTGTAAAGAGAGTGCCACGCTCTTTGCACGTTAAGAACCCTTGCAACAACTCTTTGAGGGGTCCGTAGGCGACCTGTTGCAAGGCTAAATTTCTGTCCCTATCCAATATACCCTCATTTCCCGTGGCAGTCTAAATTTCTCCGACCTTAATCCCTTAATCTATTACAGAACCTACCTATTGTATTTATTGTGAACTTGTTCTCGTCCTGAATATGCATGAAATATTTGCCACTGGACGTTAAGCAACCAACAATCAATCAATCAATCCTTTCATTTACTTTAATTCTATTTCGCCTCAGACGAGTTGAGTAAGAACTATTAGAGTATCATCGGCAATTGAAACTGCGTGCTTATCCGCGTTCACAGCCAGATATCGGTGACTTGTCGAAAAATGATTTTATAACTTGTAGAAATATCTAATAAAGTCATACACAAAACCACCACTTGTTGTTAAAAATCTTATTAAGCGGTTAAATTGAACTCAACCCAGGCCCTAAAATGCCACACTGGCCCTGTGTTTCATGTGGAAAAAATGTCACTTGGTAATGTAAAGCTTTAGAGTGTGACTTGATATCATGTGGAAAACTTGGTATCAT